GCGTCCATGTAGCCCGCCGTGACCACGCCCCACGCAACGGCGAGCTTCCTCGCCAGCGGCTTGTCCAGACCCTTGATGCCGACCGACTTTCCGTCGGCTGTGGTGGGGACCTTGATGGGCGGGGTTGCACGGAGGACCAAGAGCGCGTCGCTGAAAGTGGAAAGCCCCGCTCGCCCCAGGTGGTCGAGTAGCTTGATGACGGCGGCGGTGTCAGCGGCGTCGTCGCTCCGCCGCAAGTCGTGCACCGCTTCCATGATCCGCCTCATCCGGCGAGTGCAGTGCTGCAGCGCATCGTTTTTCCCCGTCTCACCCACCTCGGTCGTGGGACTAGAGCTCTTCGCCGACTTCGCCGACGCGGCGGGTTTGTCGCCCTTTTCGACCTTGCAGATCATGCGCGTGTGTCTGACGAGGAATCTGTGCTCGTCGAAACGTTCGCGCAACGGACGCGAGTCGAAGTTGGACGGGTTGTTCCACCAGCGCCATGCAGCCTCGACCGTCTTGGATGTGCGCCAGGGATGCACGACGTTGACCTCGTACGTCAGGTCATCCTCCTGTTCCTTCTCGATCTTGACGGACGCTGCCTTCTCGGCGGCCGTCATCGGCCTTGACGGTGCGGGCGCAGACGGCGTCGGCCGTGCCTCGGCCAGCTTGAGAGCCTGCATCAACTTCGCGATCTCCGCGTCCTTCTCCTCCAACTTCTTCTGCATCTCAAGCTTCTCGATCGCGGCATCCTCCCTCTGGCGGTGCAGCATCATGGTGAGCTGGTCGACCTGATATTCGGCGTCGATTCGCGCGCTGAATTCCTGCGATCCAAGGGGGATGGTCGGCAAAAGGTGAGCCAATGTTGCAGGACGACTTGTTTTGCAGGTCGCCGGAACGCGCACGCCGTACCTCTTGGGGGTTCTCGCTCGGAGTACTGCGCGTCGCGATGGTTTCGAGGTCCACCCGGTTGACGTCCTTGGCCCATTTTTGGAAGTCGGGGTCGCGGCAGAGCTTGGAACTCTGGACGTACGGGTGCCACGGTTCGCGCATCAGCATGCACGCAAGATCCTCGGCGACGATTCGGCGGCCGAACTCGATGAGCGATTGCAGGAAGTGCACCCCGGCCGTGTTGGGCTCTCTCGCGGATGCGCATTTTACCGCCTGCGAGTCGAACACAAACACAAACACAATCAGCCGTCGGTATAATGTCGTCGTGGAAATGGTCGGCGGGTTGTCGGCGTTATTGCCGCCCGAAATGCTCACCTTGGCCAGTTCCGCTTCAGCCCACGGAAAGATGTGCTGGGCGATGAGGGCCACCACCTTGTCGTCGGGCTTCACCATGCTCCGGCCGAGGTGGTAGTCGCCGCGCTTGCCCGTGTAGCCGGCCTTTCTCAACACCGCCGCCTTCGGGATGGTCGTGATGTAGCTCTTCGCGAGCTTGTCGAGCGCCCAGTGGCCCAAGTCGGCGATGTCAGATCGCGGAACGCCGTCGTCGGCCAGCTCCTGTGCCCCACCCGCCCGGGCGGCGTGGGTGTTGCGCGTGATGAAGATGTTGTTCGTCCGCCACATCTCTTTCGTGATCCGAGAATGAGATGACGCCGGCAGCTCTTTTTGTTCCTTGTCGTTTCGAGCATGAAAGAGGTGCTTGTGATACCAGCTGTACGGAGTCGTGAAGTCGAGGGGCGGCACACATCGAGAAGTGGGCGATCGGCTGAGCTGGTCGTACACGAAGTGCAGCCACAACAGTGTGTGACCGACGGCGCACATCTCTTGGTCCAGGTGTCTCGCCGCGTAGCTGTGATGCAGACGAGCATCCTTGTTCGTCTTGGAGTTTTGTGACGCGACAACCATGACAACCGGCCGTCGAGTGGAGTGCTCGGGCGACGCGCTCCCCATTCTGTACAAAAACAGGTCGGGGAGCTCGATCGCTCGGAGACTGGCTCCGCGGAGAAGGGTGTGGTGACCCAAGAGGGTCATCGTCTTCATCAGCAGAAACTTCCACAGTGTCTGGGAGGGGGTGGCCGCTTTGGGTTCGTACGCCCGAGCTGCCCAGGTCGGCAAGACCTTGAACATGAGGTGGCGGATCTGGTCGGTGGTGTACGTGTCGCCGAGCGTTCCGCGGTGCCGGTCGACGCAATCCCTGCACATCAGTTTCCACGAGGACTGGGTTAGCTGGGCGAACCGGGAAACAGGCGCGGGACGACTTGCCGACTTACCTGTCGTCCCTGTGCCACTTCTCTCTGACCATCGCACGCACCTCCGAGCGGACCTCGGAGATGTCGTACATGATGTGGAGCTCCTTCACCCCAAAGAGCGTCCCCTCGACCTTGCAGGCTGTCTGGAGCGCTTTGATACGGATGAGCAGCATCGAAACCGATGTCGGCTTCAGGGGCTGGACACGGACGTCGGGATTCAGCTCCTCGAGCTCCTCGGCCTTTGCAATACCATACTCCCTTGCGATTGACAGAATGTACGCCCTGATCCGCGTGGCGTTGACGCAGGGACCGTGCATCCATTGTAGGTCGCCCTTGGCGGTGTGCCACTGATCACCCATGTCTTCGTCGATGTACCTCCCTATCTCGTCCTCGTGTTCCAGCACGCCGTCCCCCTTGACTCTGGCGGTTGGCTGTCTTGGAAGGTTCGCGCAGCACCATCTCTTGAAGTCGAGCAGCGCCCGCAGGTACTGAACCCGGGTCGTTCTCGCCTCCAGCGTGTCCAGATGCCGGAAAGCCCACATCATCTTCAGCAATCTGTTCTTCTTGGCGAGCTCTTTGTTGATGTCGAAGGCGGCTTCCGCAAAATCGTCGCGAGGAATGTTATGCAGGAAGGCGTCATCTTTCTCGTCGGCTGCCAACAAGTCCTCTACGGTCAGATACATGTAGTCGTTTTCTGGAAATGGTCCAATTGGCGGCGGCTGCTCCGTGTCCGAACGCGGCGAGTACCGGTCCGGCCCGGGTTCGGGAGCCCCTTTCGTCCCTGGCGGTAGGGGGATGGTCGGGTCGGCGGGAATTTTTGCCCTAGCGGCGTCTACGTCGACCACCATGTCGGCGGGAATATTTGCCCTAGCGGCGTCTACATCTTCCTCCATGAAAGGCTCGTTCAGGTCGGGAATCGCGCTGCTCCGCGCCGGCGGAGCGACGCCAGCCATCTCGGCGGGTAGAGTTGTTCCCGTCGGCCTCTAGTTGTCGCCGCGATCTCGCTGCGGTACGTGCTCAGCCCACCAAAGTCGATACTGCACAATCGCTGCCGTGTATTGCCTTCGCACCGTGGCCCTAAAGGCCGCCCGTCTTTCGGCCCTCTCAACGTTCTCGGCGATCGTCAACTCCGCGGCAATGTCGGTCAGTTCGGGAATTTCGGGAAGTAAGGGCGGCGGATTGGCCGTGGTCGGCGGCACAATGGTCGGCGGGGTGTGAAGTGGCAATGTATCGTTCGGCGGGGTGTTGTCCGGCGGGATGTTGTTAGACTGGTCCCTGACCATTGGAGGCCGCACGGGGGATCACCGGCGATGACAATACTGGTTGTGGGTTTGAAGAAAGAGGTCGGCGACTTTCGGTTGTTGTCGACCTAGTCAGTCGTCCTAGTCGGAATGATCCTAAGTCGGAAGCCCGTAAAGTTTGCCGACCTAAACGCACTCTACACCGGCGTGGCTCGTCGTCGACCCTGCACCGCGCGTGGTCGGTCGGTCTCCGAGAAGCGTGAAAATGAGCAAGGGAAATGTGGCCCACCAGAATGGAAATGAATGCAACGCAACAAACAAGTGTCGAAATGCCATGGACACTTGGCCGTCAGGGGGTCATAGCATAGAGAGGCACAGTCGCGGTTCGGGCGGACAGGTGTTGGCGGGCGATCCGTGGGCATGTCTCCAACTCTGCATGCAAGGCAGAACGGCACGGCGGCGCAATGGTCGACGTTGCACGGGGCACTCATGTCTTTTACGCAGCCGACCGTCCGGTGTTCCTGTCACGGTGAACCGTGCTTACACGTCGGCGTGACGCAGCAGTGCTCATGGCGTCGCCCGACGATGGTATCCCGCGGGGACGTTCCCGCCAGCAGGCCGGCGAAGGCTTGATCGCCGCGTGGACAGACGTTTGCCGATCGATGTTCGCCGCGTGGAATGTTGTGTTTCGGATGGGCGACGTGTGGCTCTGCGCGCCAGCGCAGTGGCCGGCCAGAAATCGCGGTGGGCCTCACGTCGCAGTCCGCGCCAATGGCTAGGTGGACGTCGTGGCACGCTGACCGCGACCGGCGTCGTCGAGGTGTCGACCTCGTACGGAGGGTCCGTTGAGAGGTGCTGTCGGGGTATTTTTCATCGGGATTGCCGGGCGACGCAGGGTGACGCTCCTCGCCCAGGACGTGCACTCAGTTAGCCGGACAGGATGACGCAGGGTGGCGGATCCCTTTCCCGAGCCGCGTCGTTTTTGCACCTGGATGTGGTCGGGGCGTTGAGATATACCATGCTGCATCTATCATGCACATTTCTCTTCTTACACTTGATGGAAGGTTTTGAGCAAATTTCCAGGTTGCCCCTGCAAGTCCGTGCGAGCACAGGCTCTGACCGCGGGGCGTTCTGCCATATCTGCCTTCCTCAACCAGGGTTTCTGCGCTTTCTGCGCTTTTGTTGTCTGGACTGGACATCCCTGGGATTCTAAGTTTGTCCGTAGTCGAGATTTCCCCCGGCAATTCAACTTTTCTGTCCTGGTTCTCCCGCATTCAGCCTCCCCTGTCCGCTTTTTTTCCGCGCGATGGGTCGGCCAACAGCAGCAGGGGGATCGCGGGGACCCGCGGTCGGCAATAATGACGACGGCGCGGAGGTGTTCGATTTTCTCGCGGCGATCGTTAACGACGTGAGCCTTGTATCGAACTGACCGTTATATCGAGATGAACGATTCGTCGAGGTGTTCGATTTTCTGGCGGCGATCGTTAACGATGTGAGCCTTTTATCGAAGTGAGCGTTGTAACGAAGAGAGTGCTTTATCGAGATGAGCTTTATGTCGGGTGCTCGCTTTCATTTCATCAAAATGGGCGTTGAAATTTTTAATATGGCGACTTTTGAGGCGCCCCAAGAGGCGAAAACGTTTACCGGATCGTCACGCGCGGACGTCGCTTGCTTTGCAGGCTCTGGGTCTGGTAAACGAGGTCAGCGTTTAACGGCTGACTTTTGAGTAAACTTGATTGGCTGACTCAAAAGTCGCATCGCACAGCCTTCGCTTGCCTTGCGAAGCTCGCAGAAGCGTAAACGAGGTCAGCGCTCCAAAGAGTTGGAAATTCTCAAAGTCGACTCAAACGTCGCATCGTCGGGCGCTCGCTTGCTTTGCGAAGCTCGCAGAAGCGAGCTTTGTAGACAAGGTCAGCGTTTTCAGAGTATTCGAAATGCTCATTCTCAGACCGAAAACAACCTACTCCGAAAGGCCTTGCTCTGATCTGAACAAGCCCGCAGCTAGGCTTTTCAGAGGTGACGTGTCAGTTTCTCTTCAGAGTGGACTCACAAATAGGCTTTAAGGTTCGCCTGGATTTCGCGAATATGCTCACTCCTTCCGTCTCCTCCTCGTTCCTTCAAGTCGACCTGCGGGGGTGGAGGGGGGAGTGCGGAAGGATGAGTGGGGAGGGGGGAGGGGGGAGGGGGGAGTGGGGAGGGGGGAGTGGGGAGGGGGGATTGGGGAGGGGAGAGGGGAGAGGGGAGAGGGGAGAGGGGGGAGGGGCCAGGGGGCAGGGGGGAGGGGCCAGGGGGCAGGGGGGAGGGGCCAGGGGGGAGGGGGGAGAGGGGAGGGAGGGGGAGGAGGGAGGGGGGAAGGAAAACTTTTCTGAACTGCCCTCTATCCTCCTCACATTCTCTTCTTCGTTTTCTCTGGATGGAGCTGGGTGATAAAAGTGTTGTTTTGAGACGTCTCAAAACAACACTTTTATCCGGATGGAGCTGGCAAGTGGGGCGGGGGCGCGGACCTTGAGTTGAGAGGCTTAATCGAGGAGCCACCCTCCACACCACCCTCCCCTCTCATTCCCCTTCCATCCTTCTCCTTTTTTGAGCTGGCAAGCGGCGGCGCAGACATGGAGCTGAGAGGCAAGTTGAAGGAAGCACCGTCCACACCACCCTCTCCCCTCATACCCTGTTCCTCCTCCTCCCTCCCACTCTCCTTCCCTCTCATACCCCTCTCTCCTCCCCTCCTCGTTTCTCCACATGGAGCTAGCAAGCAGCGGCGCAGACATGGGGTTGAGAGGCAATATCGAGGGGGTTCCGTGCACGCCACCCTATTTTTGAGTCGACTCAAAAATTCCGTGCACGCCACCCTCTCCCTTCATACCCCGTTCCCGTCCCTCCCACCCCTCCCTCCTCCCTTCGCTGCCCCCTTTTTCCACATGGAGCTGGCAAGTGGCGGCGCAGACATGGAGCTGAGAGGCAAGATCGAGGGGGTTCCGTTCGAGCTACCATCCACACCACCACCCTCCCCACTCGTTTTGAGTCAACTCAAAACTAGGCGCGTTTTGAGTCGGCTCAAGTGGTAGGGCAGACATGGAGTGGGGAGGCAAGATTGAGGGGCGTCTGTTCGAGCTACCATCCGCACCACCACCCTCCCCACTCGTCTCCCTTCCCCTCTCCCCTCCCATCCCCTCCCTCCTCTCTTTCACCAGATGGAGAAGGCAAGTGGCGGGGCAGACATGGAGTTGAGAGGCGAAATAGAGGATCCACCATCGACACCACCACACCACCATCCCCATTTATCTCCCTGTTTACAAGCCTGTTTCACTTTCTTAACATACTGCTAACAACTCCGAATCTGCAGCCACGCAATGTCTATCACCACCAATAAGTGGTGTTCCTCGGGGCAGACATGGAGTGGGGAGGCGAAATAGAGGATCCACCATCGACACCACCACCCTCCCCATTTATCTCCCTTCCCCCCTCCCCTCTCCGCCGCTCCCCTCCCCTCCCCTCCTCTCTTTCTCCAGATGGAGCTGGCAAGCGGCGGGGCAGACATGGAGCTGAGAGGCAAGATCGAGGAGCTGCGAGCAGTCTCGTCAGCCAGCGTGGCGCAGACCAATTCATCAATGGAGCAGGTGCGTGCGTGCGTAAGAATGCATGCTGGCGCAGGCAGGTGCGTGTTTCCCATGTCCTTGTGCCTCCTTGAAGCAAGATCGAGCAGCTGCGAGCCGTGTCGTCAGCCAGCGTGGCGCAGACCAATTCATCAATGGAGCAGGTGCGTGCGTGCGTAAGAATGCATGCTGGCGCAGGCAGGTGCATGCTTCCCATGTCCTTGTGCCTCCTTGAAGCAAGATCGAGCAGCTGCGAGCCGTGTCGTCAGCCAGCGTGGCGCAGACCAATTCATCAATGGAGCAGGTGCGTGCGTGCGTAAGAATGCATGCTGGCGCAGGCAGGTGCGTGCTTCCCATGTCCTTGTGCCTCCTTGAAGCAAGATCGAGCAGCTGCGAGCCGTGTCGTCAGGTCAGCGAGTGTGGCCCGGACCGACTCGTCCATGGAGCAGGTTACTGGTGGTGCCTCATCCCTCCATGCTCTCACGCCTTTCACGGCATGATAAAGCAGCTGCGAGCCGTGCCGTCAGGAGCAGGCCAGCGAGTGCTTCCCATGTGCGTGCTTGCTTGCTGCACAACCACTGGTCGCACCCAATTCTCATGTCGTCGGCCAGTGTGGCTCAGAGCAGACCAACTCGTCAACGGAGCAAGCGAGTGCTTCCCATGTGCGTGCTTGCTTGCTGCACAACCACTGGTCGCACCCAATTCTCATGTCGTCGGCCAGTGTGGCTCAGAGCAGACCAAGTCGTCAATGGAGCAAGCGAGTGCTTCCCATGTGTGTGCTTGCTTGCTGCACAACCACTGGTCGCACTTAAAAATCGACTTGTGCCACGTGCTCCACCTCTCTACCAGCCTTATTTGCGAGAAATGAGGCCAGTGCGTGCGACGAGAGGTAGAACAGGAGCTCCACAATCCTGCCACGTGTCAAGCCAGGAGTGGTTGGTTGCAATTGGAAGTCACACACCACTCACCTGCTGCATGGACGAGTTGGTCTGCACTGCGCCACACTGCCTGGCTGGTCTGCACTGCGCCACACTGCCTGACGGCACGACACGGCAGCAGGCATGCGCTACAACTGCTGCAGTAGGCACGTGCTAAAACTGCTGCAGCAGGCATGTGCTACAACTGCTGCAGCAGGCATGTGCTACAACTGCTGCAGCAGGCATGTGCTACAACTGCTGCAGCAGGCATGTGCTACAACTGCTGCAGCAGGAATGTGCTACAACTGCTGCAGTAGGCATGCGCTACAACTGCTGCAGCAGATTCGTGCTACAACTGCTGTGACATCCTGCTTTATGATTCTCTCCTCCCCCTCCCCCCCCCTTCCAGATGCAGCAGCAGTTTGCAGCTCTGAGCCGGAGGCTGGGGGATCTGGGCAGGAGGGAGGGTGACCTCTCTCCCTTATCAAATGTGCCCCCTTATCCCTCGTCCCCCCCCCTCTTTCCCCCCCCACCAGATGCAGCAGCAGTTTGCGGCTCTGAGCCGGAGGCTGGGGGAGCTGGACAGGAGGGTGACGTCAGCCATGCAGGACCCCACCATGCGCCTCGTGCTGCAGGGCAGTGCCCCGCTCTTCTCCCCCTCCCTGGGGGAAGGGGAGGACCGCTCTTCTCCCCCCTCCCTGGGGGAGGAAGGGGAGAGAGGGGGGGATTCGGAGAGGAGAGGGGAGGGTAGTCAAGGAGTGGGGAGTGAGGGGGAAGAAGCGGGGGAGGGAAATGGCGAGGCAGGGGGGAGTGGAGAGGCGAGAAGGGGAAGTGGGGGGAGTGGTGAGGATGCGAGGAGGGAAGGTGGGGAGAGGAGGGAGGAAGGTGGGGGAGGGAGCGATGGTGCAGGGGCCGATGGTCACGCGGGTGAAGGTGCTGTTGGGAGCAGCAGTGCAAGTGGTAATCCTGCCGTTGCTGGTAGTGCTAACACCTAACATTTCTAGGTATTCGGCTTGCTTTATGGAGCAGCATTTTTCCTATCATGTTGCTGCATTTGTAGATAATGTTTAAACATGAGTGGTCAAAGCGTAGTAAGAGTAAAAAAAAATCTCGTTTGTCATTTGTTTCCGTTACGGGTGCAATGGATCGTGGTAGCGAAGATTGCACTAAGGTGCCAAACGAATACAAAATAAGAGCGAAGGCATGAGCAAACATTAATACGCGAAACGTGCAAACGGTAACGCGGTGCGTGCGAGCTAGCTAGTGCTATGCTAGTAGCGAGGCTCGGGCGAGTCCCGAAGCGTAGGCCGACACGGCCGGGCCAGCAGTGCGAGGTTTGGCAAAACAGTGCGCGCGAAGTTGGCGAAGCCCCGTTCGCAGTAACGGGCGAACAACGGCTGTTGCTGTACGCGATGTAGTTGGACTCCGTAAGGAATGCCGAGAAAATTCCTTACACTACCCCCCCCCCCCCCCCCCCCCCCCCCCCCCCTCAAGAAGCCCCCTCCGCTACGCGAGTGCATGTATATCGCGGAATCCCCAGCTCCTTAAGTACACTTGCAGGGCAGGGTGGTTTTCGATGTTGGCCAGGGGCACCCAGCTATCTTCAGTTGGTGTGCGGTGCTTCCAGCGAACGAGGAATTCAATCCTCCTGATTCCCGTGGGGTGGCGAATCCGATGGCTCATGATTTTTTCGGGCTCAATGATCAGCTCCGACGCAGGGCGGGTCATGGAATGCGGGCGGTGACAAGGCAGTTGGCTGGTGGTTGGGATGTACGGGCGAAGTAGGCTGTCGTGGAACGATGGGCTGATGTTGTCAGAACATTATAGCTTATGCTTTTGTGTAAGCCATAGTGGGGTATCCCATAGGGGGTACAACCCAATTAGGGTTAGTACTTGTACCCACTTCGCTCATAGTTCATCTATTCTCGTTCTCATTATAACATGGAATCAGAGCAGGTCCCCTCCTAGGGACTGTTTCTTGGGCCCACCGAAGCGCGCCCCGAGGCGCGCGTTTTTTTAGCGACCCGTAGTGTCGCCCTCCCCCCCTCCCAGCGGTCCGTCGCGCCGCCTTTCGGTCGCGGCCCCGCCGCCCTACTCTAGCGGCCCCGCCGCCCTACGTCGCGGCCCCGCCGCCCTACCCTTCGACGGCGCCGCCGCCCTACTTCGACGGCCCCGCCGCCCTACGTCGCGGCCTCGCCGCCCTACTTCAACGGCCCCGCCGCCCTACCCTACGTCGCGGCCCCGCCGCCCTACCCTTCGACGGCGCCGCCGCCCTACGTAGCGGCCCCGCCGCCCTACTTCGACGGCCCCGCCGCCCTACGTTGCGGCCCCGCCGCCCTACTTTGACGGACCCGCCGCCCTACGTCGAGGCCCCGCCGCCCTACCCTACTTCGCGGCCCCGCCGCCCTACGTTGCGGCCCCGCCGCCCTACCCTACATCGACGGCCCCGCCGCCCTACTCAGCGGCCCGCCAACCGCCCTACCTGCGGCCCATCCGCCGCCCGACCGCCGGGTCGCCCAGCCGCTGAGCCGCCGAGCCGCCCAGCAGCCGATCGGCGAGCCGCCGAGCCGCCGAGTCGCCGAGTAGCCGAGCCGCCGAGCCGCCCAGCAGCCGAGCAGCCGAGCCGCCGAGCAGCCGAGCCGCCCCGCAGCCGAGCCGCCAAGCAGCCGAGCCGCCCCGCAGCCGAGCCGCCCCCGCAGCCGAGCCGCCCAGCAGCCGAGCTGCCGAGCCGCCGAGCAGCCGAGCCGCCCCGCAGCCGAGCCGCCGGCCGCTGAGCTGCCCTACTTCCATACGGCCCGTTCTACCCAGCCTGGTGAGCGCAGAGCCTTCTTTTTCACTGCGCTGCCCTCACCCTACTGCTTGCACTGCTAGGCGTCTGTCGTCATGGCTACCCCCAGTGTCCTCGCTTTTGACGCTGAGGGTCGGGCCATTGACTTTGAGGTCTGGGTAGATGACCTCCAGCTGTTCTTACAGTGCGATAGGGCAGACGGCCTCTCTCTCTTTGACCTTACCTCTGGCGCTTCCCCTGCCCCTGCTGCTGATGCTGACCCTACTGTTCGCTCCCAGTGGGCTACGCGCGATGCTGCTGCACGTCTTGCTGTGCGTCGCCACCTCCCTACCTCTGAGCGTGCGCACTTTAGTCAGTACAAGAGTGCTCAGACCTTGTACGACGCTGTAGTTGCGCGCTACTCCTCCCCTGCCACTGCTGCACTGAGCCGCCTCATGCTACCCTTCCTCTTCCCTGACCTTGCCGCCTTTCCCACAGTCGCTGATCTCATTACGCATCTCCGCACTAGTGACACCCGCTACCGCGCTGCGCTTCCTGCTGACTTCTACGCCAAGAACCCCCCCCCCCATGTACATCACTCTCTACTTTCTAGTCACCCGCCTCCCCGACTCCCTTCGTGTAGTCCGGGACCACTTCCTTGCGGTCTGTCCCACCACTCTCACAGTCGACAGCCTAGAGAAGGCCCTCCTAGCGGCGGAGAAGAGCATCGTCACTGTAGGAGCCTCTCGAGGTGACCCCCGCGCCCCCATCTTTGAGGCGAAATACGACGGCGCCCAGGGTCCAGTTTGTCCTTCCCGTGTCGGTAGAGTCGCGTAGTCCATCGGCTTCGTGACGATGACGCGCCACCAATCCATGGCAAGTCCTCGCAGTAGCGACATGGCGTAGCGGATTTTCGTCGTATCCTCCGAGACGTATGCTGATGTAACGAAGGATCCAGTGGATAGGATAGAATCCGTTAAGTCTGAGAGGAGACAATGAAGTCTCTGTAGTGACCTTGTTGAATAATAATTGAAAGAGAACAAGATAATTGAAAGATACGAGTACAAGAGATTAAATAGAAATCTAGCTAGCCATGTACTCTGAGGGGTACATTCCCTTATTAACTGTATTGCATAGCTACAGTAACCGTGACTATTGCTATCCTCGACAGTTACCATGTTGTAATGAATTAACTATCGCGCGGTTACTGGATTGTCAAGGGTCACGACCGTTGACTTCCTCAGACGGTTGACCTTCGGGTGACCCTCGACATTCCGCATGCTCTATATGAGCTATTGCGGTACTAGTACAGTGGAGCAGCTTTGGGAATGCTTTATATAACCTTTCGGTTATTCCAACAACGTAGTTGGCGTCGAAAAACACGTTCATCGTGAACAACCACGCCTGAACGGTAGGACCACCCCTTTGACTGGGATCGAAGCATGGCGGACGCTACGGCTTCAGCGGCATCGATGACGGCAGTGCCGAATCGTCGGTTGGTGCCGAAATTGTGATGCGTGGCTGGCTTCGGGCCGCATTCGTCGCTTCGGGGTGTGACGTGTCGTGGTCGTCGTCTCCGCCGGGGCGGACGACGCCATCACTGGCCGCGCTCGCGGGTTGCCCCACGCTTCCGTGTTGTGATGCTTGTGGTGCGGGCTGTTCCGGAGTGCCAGGTGCTTGAGATTGTGCTTGTTGTGCTCGTGTGAGATAATTTTGCAGGGACGAGCGTTCTGCCGTCAACCTCGCGATTTCTTCGGCGCTCTCGCGGATTTGTCGCAGCGGATCGTTTAATTGCTCCTGCGTGAGAGTCGTGACGTCGATATGCTCAGCCATTTGGAAGGCCGTTGGCTCGTCTTAGTTGAGGCGCAGTCGTGGCTGCATGCGTTTACGAGAGAACGCGAGGACAGCGGATACTAGGTGCTAAGGTGCGTGAGTCCCTTCGAGTGAAAAATAAAAAGTTGGTTTCCTTGGGTGCGGAGACGTGCGGTCCGGAAAGAAAGAGGTCTGAATACCAAGTGTTACGGGTGCAATGGATCGTGGCAGCGAAGATTGCACTAAGGTGTCAAACGAGTACAAAATGTGAGCGAAGGCATGAGCGAACATTTATACGCGAAACATGCAAGCGGTAACGCGGTGCGTCCGAGCTAGCTAGTGCTATGCTGGCAGCGAGGCTCGGGCTAGTCCCGAAGCGTAGGCCGACACGGCCGGGCCAGCAGTGCGAGGTTTGGCAAAACAGTGCGCGCGAGGTTGGCGAAGCCCCGTTAGCAGTAACAGGCGAACAATGGCTGTTGCTGTACGCGATGTAGTTGGACTCCGTAAGGAGTGCCGAGAAAATTCCTTACAGTTACAGTATCCTTCGCATCGCAATTTCTTTGTTTTCGCGAGGCTCATCTGTCGTCATTGATGGAGGGAAGAATGTTGGAACAGTTACGCAGGGAAAATCCCTCCCATTTCTGATTGAACATTCTGGCGCCACCTGACAAACATCCTCCTGAGTCCTGCACCCTGATTGTTTTTGGTCCCGGAAATCCGCTGGAATGATCAAGAAACTGCCAATTTTTCTCACATCTTTGCATGCACCGCGTTCCGTTTGCCGTGCTGGTGAAGGCGATTCGAAGCGTTCAGGGAGGTCTGTACGTTCCACAGCGTTCAAATGGAATTCAGAACGGTTTTGAGCTTCCGCGAAAACGAACGTTTGAGAGAAACGCCCGACACGACTCGAGCCGATCCCCCCTGGCATGAGGGCGACCAAAGTGGATAAGATTGACGGTGGCGACGCGGTTTCGGTTGGAACAACACAATTGTGTGCCAGTGATCGCAGACAATCACAACTGGTGACAGATAGGATTGACCATTGGCTGGAGGGGAGTGCATCATTTTGTGCCCTACACGAAGTTATGCTTCCACTGATTGGTGGATATTCAGAAAAGTAAGGAATCTAGTATTCCGGGCAGATACACAAGGTTTCGTATCTCAAAAACACACCTGATGGCCTGATGATTGAGATGAGATTCCTCACCAACTCTGTTTTGGTTCCACATTGCTCAAACGAAATAAAAATCTCCTGACTTCGGCTTTGGGATTCTCCTCGCCGCCAGCGCGGTGCCGCACCGTCAACCCAGCAGCTCAGAGCACGTCGTCAACGCCAGGCCGTGTTTTCCTTATTCCAGCTGGGCAAGAAATTGCTCCGACTTGCACGCAACATACCCACCCGTCGAGCCGCACTTG